TGTGGTCATGATCACCCTGAGTTTGGGTACCAAAATGGAAATAAATACATATGGGAGACAGATGGGTGCTACAAGCTCTTTGAAAAAGGGTTGTCATCTGTTTTGTGCACATCTGGGGTGTGGAATAGTGGTTGTGAAGAGAGAGAATTCTATACAGAGAATTCATACAGGATCATAACATGAGTCAGCTTGGAAGAGCCTTCAAAATATCTTCTAGTCCAACCTCCTGCTCACATGAGAATGAAGATGGTTGCAAACATTTTGATAAAGTTGAGCATATTCATATTTGTGGTACAGACTGACAGATTTTTGAAGTACTCAATTTTCTTGGGAATTTGTAAATTTCAAACTGCTCCACTCCTGCATGTGTGTATAAAATAAACTACAGAATATAAAATTTTATATATATTTTCACTCTTACTCTGATGCAGGTGTATGGGCATTCAAATTATTTTGGCTTAGGCTATTCTTATTCTTGCTCTAAGAACTAGGTTTGAATTACCATCATCCTTACTTTTCCTCCTAATACATTTAATGCATGTACAACTGGTTCTAGCCTTCTGAGCCAGAAGAACTGCTCTTATGCAATTTAATGGGTGTAGCAAAACACTAAGGGACAGGTAAGGTGAAAAAGAAGTGCATGAAAAAAGGACAGACATACCTTTGAGGACATACCTATGGTTCTTTGAGGAAGAACGAGTAAAAATAAAATTAATGTTCTTTCTTCTCTACATGAAAATTAAATTTCCAATTGCTGTTCTAGAGCTTACCTATGCATTTTCCTCTTTTCAAAGTTGTGCAGCATACTGATGCTTTTAGGGTCAAAAGGAACAGCACATCAGCAGAATAACTGCAGTCTGTATGACAGGATTTTCACTGCTAGTAAGATAGAGGATTAAATTTTAATAAATATATAATTGATTAGTCCCAGTTAATACAGTATTATGGCTTAGTGATGGCATCCATAATTTAGGTATATTAGGGTGGGTTTTTTATAGGCTTAATAATCTTCAGTGTGCTGAAAGGAGTGTAATAGTTGAGGACAGCAGGATTTTAGGTCATTATATTGTAGATTTTTTTTAAACTGTGTATTTATCAACTAGCTGCAATGCCTGTCATATCAGTTGTCTAGTGACAGCAATCAGCATTCTGGCAAAGAGGTGACATTACCTACAATTCAAGCATTATACAAATCGGCTGGTAATAAACTTTTCAATACCAATAGTGGATATCCATGTGATATTATTTACAAATTGATATTTTCTAGAAAATGAGGAAATGATTACAGTTTCATTAGCAGCTGAATTAATGTAATTTTGCAGCACAAATGGAGATTGGAGAAAGGAAAATCTGTAGGCATCTCAGCTCAGTTGTTGGCAAAACATGGGGATGAGGAAGATTTCTGACAAGGTTGAAGACAGATTAAAAAATGCTGTTGTACAGTGAAAAATGTGGGCTACTAATGCCATTACAGCTCAGGTACTTGTGCAAGTGACAAAAAAAGCTTTTTGTATTTTTTTTACTGGGCACAAACTGATGCTATTTTAGACTAATTTATGTAGGTAGTAAAGATGGGGAGGAAACTGGTTGTGTTTAAAGTAAAGACAGAACAGTCCTCTCTCCCTTTCAGCCCACATGGCTGAAAAATCCAAATGAAATGGAAGAATAAACGAAACTGTTTTGGCAAACTTTTATAGAACTTTTTTAATACTGTAAGATTAATACCAATAAATTAGATATAGTAATTGAGGTAATAAATCAGAGGCTTAAACATGACAGAGATCTGGAATGTATCTAACACAGATACAAAAAATGTCTGGAATTTACATTCCAAGTATGAAAGAGGGATGAATAACTACCTTCACAGTCAGAATTAAAACAAGGAAAAGCTCTGTATAGAATGGAGAAGGGAAATGAATGAATCAAGAAAGCTATGATTTGGAGTCTTGGAAGTGCAGACTCAAGGTAGATTTGCCAAACCTAACTCAGAGCTAGATCTTGCAGAAGACTGAAACAAAAAGACTATTTAGCATTATAGGCAGCAAATTGCAACTAGCATATAAAGAAGGGGAAGCCGTAAAGGTTTTGTATAATCTAGTTGCATGCCCCAGCCTAATGAGTAATTTTGCAGCTTTCAGAACAGACAAAGATATAGAAAGTAAAGTCGAAGCCAGAAGAGAATACACATAAAGTGGAAAGAACTGTGGGATGGAAGCTAAACTAGGAGACCTCAACTTACTTAAAGGGGTGTGGAGCTTTACTGACTAGTGAAAAAACTAGGAAATGAAGTTTTATGGCTTGTGGTAGAGATTTTAATCCACTTGTGGTATTATGGTGGTGCTATATAACAAGCTTCACTTTTATTTTATAATTTGCTATATTTGCAATTATTCTGTTAGTCTACAACATACCAAAGCTTTAAAATACAGCTTGAAATTAAAGAACAGTATGGAAATAAATGGAAGATGGGATAAAATGCAGTTCAAGTTAACCAAAGATAGACCATGAGTGTATTTTAATGGCAGCAGAATTTTTATGATGGAAACCTCTTAGATACAATTAATTTTATTTCAGTAAAGCATTTGACAATGTGTGCTTGTGAGATTTAGGTGAAATAAAGAAGTGGCTAAAAGAGGCATGAGAATAGGTCTGTGCTGGAAAGAGGATTATGTGACCAAAAATGGAGTTCAGTGGGTGCTCCTTATACCAACATTTGGCCAATATTATTTAACAAAGACAATGACACAAAAAAAGGAATGTGGTAATTAAACTTGCTGATGGCAAAACCAGAGGCATTGCTGTTGAGCCAACAATGAGCCATATCAAAAATTTCAATCCTATAAAACAGGTGATCTATGGAAGTAAAGTTTAATTCAATACAGAATAGAAGGCCATGTCCTTAGGGATTAATAACAAGATTTTCTGGTACAATAGGGGGAATTCATATAAGGGAAGCAATTGCTTGGAAATGCCCAATTATAATTTTTAATTATGGTCATTATGAGCCACTAGTATGATTCAGCCAACTGTATGTTAAATGCAGGGCTGTAGAATATTTCCAGTAGAGACTGAGACGTACCACTGTGTCACGAATACTGCGTACAATTCTAGTTCAGAATATGAACTCAGAAAAGTGCAAAAAATTCAGTGGACTGAGCACTGAAAATGTTTAAATTGTTTAATGGCAGAAAGGCTGAGTGGTATATGATTGCTGTCTCTGCATAGATTACATCCAGGTTAGCACCCTCATGAAGCAGAGAGCTATTTTAATCCATAGGAAATTGCTGGCCCAAAAACAGATGGATATGAACACAAATGTAATTAAGGTGGAAGTCAGGATATTTCTAAGCATTGGAACATTGTGGTTCTGGACCTGTCTCTCTACAGGAGTTGTGGGTGGAAAAGCCCAACACATTTCAAAATTGAATATATGAACACACCTGTGTGGTGAGGTTTCCTGCAGAGAAGGCTGAACTCAGTGGCACAGACCATCCCTTCCAGACATATGTCCACAAAAGGTTAGAGACTAGAGATAAATCCAAAGATCAACTTTATTTTGGGGAAAAGCCTAATGAGAAATTAGCATGGATTTTATATAAGAAATATTAAATCCAGGGAAAATGCAGAATTGCTAAATGCAATAGAAAATGGAAAATCCTGACTGTTTAGCTTATTTATTTTTAAAATACTGACTATTTAAGCATGCTCTTTCATAGGCTGCATTTTGAAATGTTCATTAGGAATATGACTCCTCCTCCAAATTAACATCTGATCCTATGATCCCAAGGCACCAAAAAACCCACCTGATTACAGTAACTGGGAGTTTCACCTGTGGCTGCACAATGAAGCCACCAAGTCACCTCAAAATTATGCAGTAAGTTGAATGTTTTCTGACAAAATGTCATGTAACACTTGCTTTGATTTGAGAATAAAAGAAGTATGTCAAGTGCATTTTTCTTACAGGAGGATCTATTCCTGTGGTATTTTAAAAAGAAAAGTGACAGAACTACAGGGTACAAAATATAAAAATAGGCTAAAAATAAGGGTGGATGTGAGGTGGGGTTTTTTTGTTTGGTTGATTTGGTTTGCATTTTTTTAAGACCTAAAATCCCTCACCACTTTTCTTTCCAAAAAGAAACTGGATAAAATTGTCTGGGTCTGGATAGGTATAGGAAGTTTTAATCATTCTGGATTTCTCCAGAAATTTTCTAGTCTTCACCCCAAGAAGGTTTGTATAAAATGCTAGCATGCCTTTCTAGCAAACAAAATGCTGTGCTTATGTCTGCAAAATACCTCCTTCCCCTCCTACTGTTTTGTTCACAGTAAATGTACTGGGAACAATATCTAGACCTGACTTTTTTGGAATTACATAGAAATAGACTTATATTCACATATGCATACATGAATACATAGCAGAACTTAAAATACTTTACAAATCTGAGGTTTATATCTAAACACCTCCCAGACCTGTCTAGAATATGGCTTTGATACAGATTTTTATATTCATTTTGTGGCTATTTCTGTTTTGTATAATGGAACAGTGTACACATATTTCAAACTTGCCTACAAGATCAGTCTGACCATAGCTTCAATTTGAAGTTCAAAGCCAGCATTACCATGCAGCCTAAAATAATCAAGTCAAAAAAACTCCTTTAAGTTTTTGAAGTGTAGCATCAGAATACATTTCTGAACGGAACCACTTATCTTTATTACATATGTCCATCAGAAATATACCTGCAATAACTGGTCTACCAAGCAAGCATTTGATAGCCCAGCAAGCTTTTCATAAGTGAGGATTTTACAGATAGGACTTGGATCAGTAAATAAACCACCAGATTTATTAAAGCATTAGAAAAAAAGCCTTTGTGAAAATATTAGCAATAATGCATCAATCAGCTTGTTTATTATCTGTTTAATTTTATCTGTTGAAGAAAAAAATGTTTGCACATTTCCCATGTAATTTTATAGCCCTATTTTATTAATAACTTAAACTGCTAAGATTTTATTCAGGTATTGTTTATTACATTGTAAGAAGGCAGTAGAATTACATTTTTATAATGTCATTTTCAAAATCTCTGTATAAAATACTCTAGGAAGTATAAACATACTGACCTGTAAAGTAGGTCCTTTGAGGAGAAAATATGATACATTAAATGTAACAGCAGTATTATACAATATCATCACGTAGAATATAATAGATCACGTAGTAATATAATAGATAAGAAAAACTGAAGAGAACATTAGTAATTGAAATTTGTTGCTAAATATGCAGCTACTGTGGTTTTGTCTGTAATGTAAAAGGCTTAATAGTTTGCTTTTATTAGAATAGAAGAAACTGCTCAGTATTTCTTTACTCTAGACATCAAAAGGTCCTTTGGTCAGGCTTTTTAGTAAATCCTATGGAAAAGTGTGGCTCAACTGCATTGAGGCAACCAATTTATTTAATACACTGGATATGTTGCAGAAAACTACATTTCATCAGCATGGGCACTGCTCACTCAATAATACATGGAAATGTCAAAGCAGGAGATTTTACTATAGAGCCAACTTCTACTAATGTTAAATAGTAACTACTTGTGCATCAATCTAAAAACAACATTCACAGAAGTTTAACTTCATTCATGAGAATGGAAGATAACTGCTTTCAATTTTGTGGTATTGTTAAATGTGTTTGTTTGGTTGGGGTTTTTCTTTGTCATGGTAACAGATGTATGGCAACACTAACAGTTTGGTAATGTATCCTTCTCTTCTCCTTTAGCCATAATTTAACTTTTAGGTCCATGAAGCACATTTTCTGTATTCTCTTTGACGAGAAGCCATTAGCTATTATCACTGTGAGCAGCTGAGAGACAATGTGAAAAATGACATTCATCAAATAAACGGAATGCTTTTTTCTTAAATCTATTTAGTTTATCTTGCACTAGAGCATCAAAAGCTTGAAAGGGCTTTGAGTCTCACTCATAAGAGGGAAATAATTATTCTTCTGTAGATATGTGGTAGTTCTCCCATTGCTGAAGTATGCAGAATAAACACATTTACAGATTTCAGGAACTATCCAAATATGATTATAACAAATATTTCCATTAACAGAAGAGTTATGACTCAACTTTCTCAGCAGGCCAGTCTCCCAGTGTGAACTGCATGCATACTGGAGTTTTGCTCCCACTCAAAATCCTGCTCTGAGTTCCAACCTGTTCTCATTTAATTTGCAGTAATGCAATGACCTGTAACCCTCTTTTAAATTTGGTTGATACTGATCATGAGTTCTAAAACTACCTGGAGAAATTATGCCAGGCAGACAAAAAGACAACTGCAGGTTGCAAAATTACATAGGTTTTCTGTTCTCAGGATAAAGGCTAAAACGTGCATGTGGCAAGGTAATGACTTTTTAATTCTCTCTGCAAAATTTGCTTCTTTTATATGTCTTCCCTATCTTCTGTATGAGTTCTGGGGGGGATACATATTTCTATTTATTACATACTACATTTTCTACATTCTGAAGTTTTACTACAAAACATCATAGATGATAACATACCTGAACCAAAACTTGGCTCCACATCAGTAGGTGAGTGAACACTTAAAGCCAAACTTTCCAAGTTGGCAATCAGGCCCCACTCATTTGATGACTTCCAGACTATCAGTGTCCATGATCACTGCTGTGTTCTGAATACTCTTCTCTCTGTACTTTCATACTTATCTCTTGTTGCTGAATAGCATTTTATGAACTAATAATAAACAAAGAAACAAGGATTAAGAAATAGTTTTAGAGTTTTCTAAAGGATGAAGTTATCAACATCAAAGGCTGCAAATGCAGTGACCATAGAGTTGACAAAGTGTGTAGATGGTGCAAAGGTATTCATAGCAATCAACTGGAAATCTGACTGAGAAAGGTCACTGAAGTATTTAAAAGATTAATTTTAAAATGACCAAAAAAAGATTTTGGTAAATGTGAAATAGTGTGTATAGGGAAGTTAATTCCATCATCTACACACAGTAGTTACCTGTTATCTTTTGCCAGTCACAAATGGTCTCTTCACAGGTATGGGAGCTCAGAAGACAAAAAGCCAACAGAATGATCAGAAGGCTTTGGAAAAGGAGCACAAAACAAACCAGTCATCATAATTCCATATAATCCCTAAACTCAGTGTACACCTTAATCATTACATGTAATTCTGGTCATGCATTAGTATTAGTAAGAATTAGAAGGACTAAAGAAATTCAACAAGGAGACTATTATGGAGTGGCTTCTAAACCAAATAGGCAAACTTTTCAGTCAAAGAAGAATACTGAAGTATATTAACGAGATATAACATTTTGCAGAAAAAATGAATAGGGTGCTTATTTTTTCCTCACAATGCAAGAATCTGGCATTGGCTAGAGAGAACAAAAGGAAACACTGTTCCAGACAATACATAATCAAGAAGCGGAACATCCTGTCCAAGAAAGCACAAAGAGAAAAGCATAAAAAATTATTTTTCCAGTTCCTTTGTGGAGGTCAGGCCCATGGATGCTATCGGCCATGCTGGGTGGCTCCCGGGTCAGGAGCTGAGGAAGGCCGGGCTGCAGGAGATATTTGCTGCCCTCGCTGACGGGGCTGGGACAGGCTGCCAGGGTAGGCGGCTCTGCAGGCATACACTGACTGCCGGCGGAAAGGCCGCCTGGCCTCTCTCTCACTGCATCGCCATCTTTCACACCGCCCAGCATGCCCGTCTCCGGGACATCGCCCGAATGTTGCGACCCGGGGAGCTTCATGAGGGATGGGGGTGGTGGGAAACTGCTCTGGAAACTGCATCCCGCCTCTTCCCGCAGCAGTTCCCTGCTCCAGCCCCGCAGTGCGGCGGCCTGCAGAAAGCCGCCCGCAAGCAGCGACCCACCGCCGAGCCTTCCTTCCCCAGCCGCCATCTTGGGGCCGGGCGGAAGAACTACCGGTCCCGGCGCGCTCGGCGTGCGGCGCCATCTTGCCGCGGGCCGCGCGGGCGGGGGGCGGTGGAGACATGGCGCTGTTCCCCGCCTTCGCCGGGGCCGGCCCGCCCGGGGAGCCCCCCGCGGGCAGCTCCGAGGGCTCCACGAGAGGTAAAGTCCCGGGAGAACCGCCTTTCCCTTCACTGCTGTCCGGCGGCCCTCGGCACAGGCCGCCCGCCCCGCTCCGGCCGCGTTTGGCCCCGCCGTGTAGCGGCGGCGGGGGCGGTGCTGCCGCCGGGCTCGGGCCGTGGGGCCGTAACCATCGCCCCGGAGTTACGGCACGGGGGCTTCTGGTTCGTCCTTGCTTTTGTTATTTTCTTTTTTTTTTCCCCCCACTAGCTTTGAATATCTTGAAAAGTGTTTTTAAATTCCTTGCTTATTAACCCAAATCATAGTTGTATAGGACTTTTTTGGAAGGTTACAAGTGAGATTATGATTCATTGTATCACATTGAGTGTTGTAGTTGATGTCTAGCGAGTAATACTTTTAATAAAATAAGTAATAATATTAAAGTAAATAACACTTTGTGGTGTAATGCCGAGCAGTGAAGTAGGTACTACGTTTATTAATTCTACTGAACAGGATTTGAGCTAACCTTTTTGCTTCTCAGGTAGCACTTCTTAAGTGCTACCACCCTTAAATCTCCCCATTCCCTAGACACCAAGGGTTCCCTAGACACCAGCAAAGGGAAACCAAAGACTTATTTACCTAGGCTAAATTTCTTGTGTGCTTGGCCCAGTCAATATGGTGCATTAGCTTCTTGTTCTAGCCAGTAATGCATTACTCCTGATGGCAGAACAGTGGCTGGAGCTCACTCTGCCAGTACAGAGCTGAGTAGCTGCGTTTAGGATCCTTTCTGGTAATGACATTTGGTATAGGGAGTAGCAGACACAATATGATCTCAAACTACAGCTTTTAGGAATAGAGGAACTGCTCTGTCAGGCAGGGATGCAGTAAAATTCTCTAGTAATAAGACTTTGGTTATATTTTAAAACTTTTGGAATTTAGCCTTTAAGTTTGTTACGGTAACCTATGTCTCTTCAGGCCACCTGTCTAGAAGATTAGATTATACAGAAAAAGATGTAAGACTGACTTTTGGATCCAGATTTCTGTTGTCAGCACTGCTTGTGACTTAAATTTTGGTATACTGGAAGCTTTTTGTGTGAGAATTATTGACAAAACTGGAACATAATTTGTTTGGTTTATGTTTTAATAAATATTGTACTTTGTTGTTGACAACGACATTTTAATGTGAGTTGTAAAAATTAAATATTAACTCAGAACCACGTTTATGGTGGTGTATATCAAATTTCACACATTCAGCTTATGAGAACTTGAGAACTTGACAGGCATCTGTCTCTCTGATAGATGGTTCTCTGCTCAGACCTGATGTGAAGCCAAAGTGCATCATAATACAGAGATCCCAGAGTATTTTGATGTTAATGTTGTGTGCAGACATTTGGGACTGCTTCATAGCTTTATTGTAGAAGTTGAAGTAATAATCTATATATGTTGGTCATGTTTCATGCAGCCAACCACTCTGTCTCTTACTTTTAAAAACTTTCCTAAACCATTCCTAAAGTGGAAGTGCTGTCTGAAACAGACACCGAAGTGGTGCTTATGCTTCCTATGCTGCCCAATTGCTGAGTTGCAGCAGCCTCTAGAGTGCTGCAATTTTCTATATGCTTCGATACAATTATGTTGTCAAGCTTAATTAGTGTTTGGTGGAAGATAAATTGCAAATTTATCTGTAGCCATGAAGAGAGCAGTGGTGGTAAGTAACCCTGCTGGCATTAGTAAGCATGATGTGCAGCGTTATTTGCAATCTGAACTATGCTGTAGGTCAGATGATGCAGTGAATTGCTCAAAGCAGATTTGCAGGATCCTGAGAGGCAACAGGTTTCATGTAACTCTTAAAAATGGTCTCTGTAGATATGCACTGTAAATTCATAGTTTTTCTTTTTGCTTGAGAAGGTATAAAGAGAATGTCATTGGATTGCTGCTGCTGTTGTGCTCATAAACATGTAACAAGTACATGCATATTACTGAAAAATAGATCTTTTATATCTGCTCTGCAAAAATGAAAAATGATAAACTTCTTAGACATTCCACAAGAAAAAAAACCTAACAAGTGTAGAGATAGTGTTTTAAAGTTTGGAATGCATTATGATGTTTGAAATGCTTGCATCCAGCTAACTGATTCACTTGAGATTATTTACAAGCAGTTTGAACTTGCATGTTGAATAATGGCAAAAATTGCTCATTTCTTTCTGAGTATTAGGCCAGTTTGGTTAAATTCTTCAGAAGATACTGTACTTGGAGTTGCTGTACTTGGAGAATTCTGAACTTCCCTGCTGTAGCCACAGAGGTGTATTCACTGTGCCACGGGGCTTGATTCTCACAGAGTGATTCTTCAGTGCATTAAAGATGCAGTTTGATCTTATCTGCTCAGGCAGAACCAAGCTTCAGGAGCAGGCTGGGAAATGGTGCATGGTGGTGTTCTGCAGCATATTGGTTGGGCTGGTCATGGGAAGTGTTTTGGTCTGGACAGTGCCATGAATTGTGGAGTCTCCCTACTTTGAAAGGAGGAGAGGTATATGGCTTGACCGACAAGGAGTTCTTGCTGTTTAAGGAGTAGAGGTTAGTGTAGTCAGAAGCACAAAGACAAAAGTGTGACAGGAAGAACACTGAGGCAAAAGTGATTGTAAAAAACATGGAGGAGAAGCAGGGAGACCAAGTTTGTTCCTTATGTTATCTTGTCAGTGTGGCACAGGAGAGACTGCTGTTAAGTTCTGTATTTACCCAAAATAACTTTTGTTGTTTAATAGCTAAGAAATTTCACGTGCTTAAAGGAATTCTAGATATGAAAACCCCATGAAAATCATCATAAAACTTGTAATATCAGTAAAATTGTGACAGAAAGTTTCCTTTCCACGTTCTGTCCATGTCTGATCTTATCTGGTGACTTAGGTGCATAATGCTTAATGCAGAATAGTGTATCCAAATTAGCTTCAGATAGCTTTCTTTCACACTTTGAAAGGTCTAATGATATTTCAGTGGTTAGAGAACTGAGAATCCAGTGCCATGTTTTGGCCATGTATAAAGCACTTGAGTATTCTTATCAGTAATGGACGTACCTCTCAGTAAAATTGTGTTAAGAATATTTTCCACACAGTCCAAAAAGTACACTTTTGTTAGTTTGTATAAGCTTTATCTCATTCATTACTTTACCTTTTGTTTAACTATGCTTTTCTGTAATTTTAAAATTTTATTTTAAAAATATATAACTATTTGTATTCTATATTGTATATATAAATTAATGTATAATTGGTATATCGTAGTAAATATATTATGATACAGTAGATTATTTTATACATATATAACAAATTTATACAGTCTATAAATATATAAAGTTAGAACCTTTAAATCATCAAAATGAATGTTGGATAGATTCTTTTTTATGTATAGGGCTGTGTATTAAACATGGAATCTGCTTTCAGTATGAGCTAAATGGAAATTTTGTCAAGTGCTTTCCAGTATGCTCAGTTATTGCACATGACTTAGTGACATTTACTGTGATTTTAACAGTGTGCTGCCTAAATTAACCCCCAACTTTAAAAAGTACAGCAAGCTAATTTGTATTGATCTCACACTTTTTTTACCTACAGAGTTAGACTGGCTTAGTAACCCAAGCTTCTCTGCAGAAGATGCACTCTTGCTGCACCAGCGCACTGCAGAAGTTGCCAATCTCATTCCTGAAAAATCGCCATTAATAAGGTAGAGTGTACTTCAGTGTCTTATGAAATAGCCTCTTTCTTTTGGCCTGCTTATTTTTTGTTATAAGACCAAATTCAGAAGCTAAAACTGCTTTTCATTCTATTGTTCAGTATTTAAAAATACCTGAACTGAGTCATGTGTAAAAGAGTGAATAATGCTTCCATGTCTTTTAACTTAAAATAATGAGAAATTGTATGTATGCAATTGCATTCCCATTTACTTTTTCTCAAAGCTGCATTTAAATTATTGTTATTTTGGAATGGAGAGGGAACTGAGCAATCATCACTCTTCATTAGCTTTTGAATGTCTAAAGTGACCCCTGAAATAATGAAAAGATTAAGCATCATCTTTATGATTTCTCTGTGGAAATCAGCCATTTCACAGTTGAGTTTTTTACTTTTTGAAAAACAGTTGCTGATGTGAACTAATGAAATATTGCATGTATCAAGTTGAGTGTGGCTGTAGAACATGCTGGCCAGCTGAAGTGGGTGATTATATCCTTTTGCAGAAATGAGCTTTAAGCAGCCACGTTTATTGAAGAACTGGTTTTAATATGTTCACAGGGCTGGGTACTGTACTTGGCTTATCTACACTGTAACTAGCACTCACTAGTGAATGCAGTCAGGTTGTATTTGTCAAATTCAAAACCTTAGTCTCTTTTAATTTGATACAAGCTCCCTTGTCTATGCTGATTGTTGGTGGTCATGATAGAGAAT